CATTATAAGTACTGATCATAACAAATTAGAAGCGCTCATAAGTCGTATTTGTCCGCTCTAAGTAAAGTGAAGCGTACTGTACTAAAGCCTCCTCCAGTGTTCAGAGTGAGGCTTCAAGTTGAAGTATTTACTGAAGGATTTACTAAAACACTAAAACATTCACAGTAAAGCACATTACAGGCTTCAAATGTCAGAGTTTAAACTAGAGCTGCCATCAGTATTTTACCCAGTGTGGGAAAGGTAATGTTCACCACCGTTAGCTTGGTATTTGTCTTTACTTTACGCTCTCCAAGCTGGGACTGACTTCTTTGGCACTGACAGTATAACATGTTATCAACTCTACTTATAATGTATTATATTAACAATTCATAATGTATAATAAACATGGCTATAAAGTGTAAATAAATTCATTTTTAGAAATGTTTAGAATCATGTTTATAATGCTGTATGAATGCATTATAACATGTTAGAAATGTGTTCATAGATGCTCACAAAGGTGACATTCTTAGAAAGTGTTAACGAAATTTCTTCTTAAAACACACCGCAGTTTTCACGAAGATCCTGACTCACCAGTGTTTTCTTATGTGGAATTTGTTATCATGTAAGAACAGAATCTGCACACTCAAGATCACAAAGGTGAGAACAGTTCTGCGCTTTAAGATCACGTCATGAATCTGACGGAGACTTTTTCTTAGGACCTTTCTCAAAAACACATATACAAACAAACTTAGAAAGATATTGGAAAACCAGGCCAAACGAGGACGGCGGAGAGGAGCACTGGATGTGTCTGCCAATGCTTCAGGACATCTACAGCAGCAGAGCGAAGCACTGGCAGAGGCGGATTTAGTGATTCTGGCGCCCAAGGGCAAAACACAGGAACAGGGCCCCCTGGATACCACATATACTGCAAGATACTGTATCTCAACAAGCGATATCATTGTAAATATAGTGGATATGTCTAATATTTCTCATTTTGAGATTGTTCTAAGAACTTTAAAAGATTATTTATCTAATTTCCAGACATTTTTACCTTGTTTTAAGTATTTTATTAACTATTTAATTACCTTTTGAGTAAAATTATCTCTCTATCTAGGCAGTGTAGTGAGATAAACCCATTAGTGGTGAGTAATGCACCATTAAAGTAATGAGTAGAGACTTTGACTTTTTCCAAGAAGTAATAAGTAACGTAACCCCAGTACATACATACATCATCTAAACCGCTTATCCTTCTGGGTCAGTAACCCCAGTACAGTTTGAGAGAAATAATTATTAACTTGTAGTGGTTATTTTGTGTGTGACTCCCCAACACTGGTGCCACCTACAGAAACACTGGGCCTCATTCTCCAGTATCTTCCTAAGTTTGTTCTTAAGTGTGTTCTTGAGAAAAGTCCTAAGAAAAAGTCTCCGTCAGATTCATGACGTGTTCTTAAAGCGCAGAACTGTTCTCACCTCTGTGCTCTTGAGTGTGTGTAGATTCTGTTCTTACCTAGATAAGAAAACACTGCTGAGTCAGAATCTTCGTAAAAACTGCGTAAGTGGGTTTTAAGAAGAAATTTCTTCTTAAGTACGGTTGGTGACTGAGACTAGCATTACGTACGGCCTGCTAAGCCGGCGCAGCCCCCTGTTCTCCACGTTCCTGGGTTTCTCAACTGTATTTGGATCATTTTAAATGAACAAAATCACTTTATTGAAAATAATAACGACAATTGCAAATGACATCTATTTTAAGAATGCATGTATATTTTGGCATACATTCTTTAAAATGGTGGTTCTTCAAGGGTTCTTTGGTAAAGAAAATGGGTCTACATAGAACCATGAACACTTAAAGAACCTTTTGCGTGATTAAAGGGTTCTTCGCATGGTGAAAGTGTTCTTCAGATTCATGGAGAATGTGCTGTATATGGTTTTAGGTAGCAACAAAATAGGTTCTTCTGTTGTCACGACGTCAAGCCTGTATACATCAGAAGAACACTCTTTGTGCTACATAGAACCCTTTATATAGAACCATACAGCTGCTGTTGTGTGTTTGGGGCCTGAAGAATCACATTTGATTCCATTGTTTACAAGTTAGATTGAGGAATTACAATAAAAACACTTGATTTGATATCATATGTTTAATAAGACCTGCTTTCGTGTAGATGATAGTCGTATCTGCACATGTACAGATATTCACACACCTCTTCAGCTCCTCTCGCATCGGCTCTTTATAATTCTCTCTTATTCTTTATTCTATTTATACTATTTTTCTTTCATTTGTCTCTTATGTAAATGCTTGTTAACAGTCTGTGTGCTTGTCTGGTCTGTTGTCATACATGGGAGTCCCCACCATGTAATATTCAGGGGCCTTTGTCTTATCTTAAAATCTGACAGGTCAAGATCAGATTTTTCACACATTCGTATCACAGAAGCAAATCTGACCTTAATTTAGGAATCTTATCTTATCTTACAGCATCTTTTCTTATCTCAAGTTAGGAAATCTTAACTTTCTCGAACAAAGTCGACAATCAACTGTCGTGTCTGTTACCTGGCAACCGACCATACGCGCACAGCTGAAACGTGAACACGTAATCAAGTTAGTTAGCCAGACAGCTAACGTTAGCTACCGTTACTAAAGTAAAAAAGGTCCAATAAAACTAAAGCGCGACAAACTGAGAGTTAATAATGTTGTATCAGCGCTTTGTGCTGTTTAGCAGAGTCGTCTCCACAGTTTCAGTCTCCATTTCCCAAACGCTTTAGCCGAGCGCGCTAACGTTACTCCTCCTAATAAACAGACACACGTTCAGCTCCGTCTCCTCATTATTCACCACCATCACTGTAATATTTCATCATCAACATTAACACACGAAGGTGATCAGAGGGGCGGTGGAGATCGAATCTGCAGCGGCTGAGATTTTAAACACTGTTAGAAAAAAACCTCACAGCTCAAAGCTCCGTTTTCAGTGTGGATAAATGCGTCATTATGCTACTTATAGTGAATTGCGCTGCCTCTCACTGCATAAAACAACAACATAAACAGACGGATAAACAGACGTTAAGCCGCTCTGTGTTTATCTTAAAGTTAATAAATAAAGTTAATAAGGATATTTTGGCAACTTAGGATGTTTCTGTAAAACCGTTTTCTTATCTGGAAATAAGAGAAGATTATAGACTTAAGATCTGTTGTTCTGTAATGGCTTCTGTCCTTACTTTAGTCTTAACTGAAGTTGCCATGACAACAAAGCAGATCTCAGACTAAAGAATTTTCTGTAATACAGCCCCTGGTTAACAAAGTTAAAGAAGTGTCTTTTACAATTTTATATAAATATTACCCCTCAAAAGTCCTTTGGCAAAGATTTTAAGAGGTTATAGATATTAACTGCTCTTTTTGTGATTTAATTCCTGAGGATCTTTTTCACTTATTTTGGAGCCCTCAGTCTAATGGCTTTTGGAAAGATATCTGTTCTGTTATTATCCAGAAACTCGATAGTAACATTTCTCTTTGATTTAAAGATGTGTTTTTGCTTGGTTTTATGAAGATCTCCTCTAACGAGGCGGACAAATACGATATAATCAATCTTATTTTATTGATAGCTAAATTCCATATTCATAAATGTAAATATCAAAATCAAATGCTTGTTTTAATTATATTTGCCAAGCAATATTTGAAAACACTTACTGGGTATAACAATAAGAAAGCTGTCAAAACTGTCAAAAAATATGTGGATCCTTTAATATTTTTGTATAAAGTGACGTCTGTTTGTGTTTGAATTCCCTGGTTGTAGTTTTTTTATCCTTTTCTATTTTGGTTTCTTTTAGTGTTTGGCGTCTTTGGTTGATGCTGTCTTATCCAGTGGTGGACAGTAAATGTAATTCATTACTGTACTTAAGTAGTTTTTTCCTGTATCTGTACTTTACTGATGTTTTTCCATTTTGGGTGACTTTTTACTTTCACTCCACCACATTTCAAAGTCAGATATCTCACTTTTTGCTCCACTACATTCTGAGAAATCTGTCGTTCCTTTTGGTTTATGTGTGCATAAAAACGTCAAAACAAAAGAAGCACAAAGCAAGAACACCAATCAGGGCACAGCGGTCACTTAGTTTTGAGCTTGTTTTGACCTGTTGGTCATACCGACCCAGTGCAGCACACGGTTCAACATCAGTGCAGCAGAGTAAAATTTTGGGAGAGTCTATTCAACATAAATGATGAACTAACCTAACTTTGTGTAAATAGACCACAATATAGAAATATGTACTCATATGCAGTTGAGACTGACGTGTCTTTATTCTGAATTTACACAAACACTATTTCATTATATAGCAAATTAGTTTTGGCTAGTTTATGTTTATGAACAGAGACCTACAGATGCAGTTTAGTAAAGGAAACTCATTTGTGAATCTGAGTTTAAAGTTTTTATTAAACTTAAACTTGTAACTAAGTTCAAATAAATCTTAAACTGAAACTTTGCTTGTTTGTAAAAAGTGATTTCAGAGCCACTCAGTTCTACCTGATGGAAACTGTTCACCTTCAGTGTTTTGTGTTTATGATAATTTTAATAGACATCAGCATCACTAATTAATGACTCTATTAAAAGACTGGTTTACCAAGAGAGACACTGGAGTATTTTCACCTAAAATGAGTTAATGAAGCGAGTCTTGTTACAAAAATGATAATAGGACATCAGAGCCATAATTAATCTTTTAGTCCTTTTACTGTTGATACTTAAGTACATTTGAAGGAAATACTTTTGTACTTTTACTCAAGTGGAGGTCTAAAGGGAGGAACTTCTACTTTTACTGATACCCTATTTTACCTTGGGTGTCTCTCCTTTAACTCAGGTACATGGTTTGTGTTCTTCGTCCATCACTGGTCTTATCATATTTGTATGTTCACATTAAAAATAAAGTGATTCTAAATAAATAAATAAATAAATAAATAAATAAATAAATAAATAAATTCATTCTCTTGCGTTCACAGCGCCTCTTAGTGGTTATTCGTTGTAATTGCAGCTGCTGCGGGTCTGATGACGACAAAAACACTCGCCGGAGTTTTTCCTCCATTGTGTTTACGAGCTACACTGCGCTGAAAATCACCTCTGCCGGATTATGGCTTTCAGCGGGGTCTTCACTCAGATATGGGTGTCTCAGTGAGTTAAGAGGAGGCCAGCGGACTCTGTAGTAGCAGGAAAGATGAATAAAGGCTGGCTGGAGCTGGAGAGCGACCCCGGTGAGTAGCTAACCAGCTAAAGTCCCGAATAACCGAGCAGCGGAATATTAACCACAGTGACTCTTACAGACAGTATTAGTCTCTACATATCAACCAGAACCGGAGTGCCAGCTTATATTTTATCCCTCAAAACACCTCAGCTTTCATATCTGGGAAAAACCGCAGCTAAAGGAACATTACTGCTATTTTGACTTAAAGGGGAACTCCACCGATTTTCCAAAATTCAGAATAATTAAACGGTTGAGATGTAAACAGAGTGGTTCAGAGTGGTTTGGTGTGAAAGGCTCCGTTCTAGATAAACCTACCGAGTCAGAACTCTTCGAAGTGGTGGTGATAGGAACCAGACGTCCACCTCTAAAAGCTCCCTCACAGAAAGTTACTACATGAAACGGTTATGAATTCACTGCCTGATGACTGAGACACTGTTTTAGGATAGTTTTGAGAAGATTACCATCTTTTTAATAATGTAGTCATGGTGGAAGGATACTTGCAGGGCGCTGTGAGACAAAATAGTCCCCCCAAAAAACTTATTATTTCAGATTTTCCACTATTTTAACCTCGTGTATGTTCCATATAAGCCCAGAAGACTCGTGTAGGTTCACTGGCGGTTTTGAATGGTAAATAAAATGGCTGTGTTTGTGTTGTAGTCATGCAGACCCCGGGTTCCTATCACCACCACTGTAAAGACGTCTGAGTCTCTATTAACCACCTCACACCAAACCACTCTGAATGATGTTTACATCTCAGTCGCTGAATTATTTAGAAATTTTGAAACATTAACTGACCGTTTAACATTCGCCGTTTTCGTGATGTCACAATATCTAATGCACGTACACCTTTTCAGCCTACAATTTAGCTCCGCCCATTCATGAAGTTATAAGGAGTGTTTCAGCTCGGACTGACTTTAGTGCGACGCACACTTCAGAGCAGCCAGTGAGAATGGAACTCATTTACATAGATCAGTCTTAAAGGCACAGTAACAGCATGTTTAATTCTAATGGATAAAAGAGGGTGGAAAATGTTTAGTTAAGACAAATGTAATATGCAGGCCCTTTAACTCAAGGTTCGGATGTCATGTAACTGTTTTTATGTGGTTTAATCCTGAAACTGGATGCAGTTCTGCGCCCTTTGGGAACCGTATCTTACCGTAGAATCAACATTTCACACAATAATAATGCTAAAACGTGATAAATACATTCTTCCTTTGAGAAAAATAGACTGTTCCTTTAAAAACTAGCTGTATTCTCATCTATTGTGTTGTGCTGTTTTATTTTTCAGGGCTGTTCACCCTGCTGGTGGAGGACTTCGGTGAGGACACTGACTGCTCCCCTGATAATTTATTACTGAGGTTATTCGAGGTCATAACAGTAGTTTGTGTAGAAGCAGGCTTGTTTACACTGGACTCTTTCTTGTTTGTTGCTCAGGTGTGAAGGGTGTTCAGGTAGAGGAGATCTACGACCTGCAGAGCAAATGCCAAGGGTAAGCTACTCCATTAAAGGGCGCATATCCCGGAAAACCGAGTTTGTCCAGGTTTTTTGTTTTTGTACAAACCCTAATAGGAAGCATGTATTGGTCCGCTGGCTTAGTAAGGTCAGCCCCCCGCTGACTGTTTGCCACTGCTGGTCCCTACCAGATTCCCTGATAGCAAGAGGATAGTGGGCCACTGTCGGCCCACTGGTGGCAAAGCTGGTGGTCCACTGGCGTTTTGCTCAGTGTTTTCTGGGCAGCCCACTGGAGGTTCAGCACAGTATTAGACAAAATTACACTTATCATCACTCATTTTCCACTCAGTCCAATTTACTGATTTTTCCTCCTTCCTTTCTGTAGTTTAGTAGTTCAGTGTCAACAACACTTTCTATAAAATCATTTTATATTCTGCCTTTTTTCCTCTCAGTTGTTTGTAATATTTGTCTTAGTTTATTTTCTAAAATAAAAGTCTGTGTGCAATAGTTAGACCTTGCATGCAGGACAATAATCTGGGTGGTCCGAGGGTGGACCAGCAGTGGCAGGTCAGTGGACTGCTAACTGTGTGGGTTATTACCCTGCAAACAAGCTCTAACTAGTTTTTAATCTCCTCAAACAGATTTTAAATACACACAGACTTGTATTTTGGAAAATAAGCTAAGACAAATATTACAAACAACTGAGAGAGGATAAAAATGACTAGGCCTGATATAAAACGACTTCATAGAAAAAGTTGTTCCTGATTAACTGTGCTAGATGATAAGTGGAATTTTGTCTAATACTCTGTTTAAACACTCGTGGGCCGCCCAGAAAACACTGAGCAAAACACCAGTGGGCCGTTATCCTCTTCCTGTCAGAGAAGTAATATGTAAACACTGTTAAAGTTTCAAAACATACAGTTCTCTCCCAGTCCATACAGTCCGTGTGTGGAAACTAGTACAGTAACAGAAATGGAAACGGTCTGTTTAGATAAATATAGGTTGGAAAAACAACATGCAGTAATGAATTATGACTGTTTTTGGTACATAAACCCGCACAGATGTTTTAAGCGTAACTCAAGAGAAAAGATAAAATGGAAAGGCAAATCTAGAACATGGGCCCTTTAATGCGTCAACAGTAGTTCAGTGAAAATTTCAGTGTACAGTTTTCCTTTTACCTCAAACGTAATCGACATGTTTGGTGTCCGACGTTTGCTTTTTTAGTTGTAGCACTGATGCTACAAGGCTATGTAGCAAAGTAATAGAAGCTTATACCTCACAAATTAGCATCGTGCTAACTGCAGACCTGCATTATTGCATATTTGCCTTAAATGACAGGTTAATAATACTGGTTTCAATAATAGTGATAATCTGAAATAGACTTGATGATGTGGTTTCTGACGCTGTATGACTCACTGTTATCTATAAAGCTGAGCTAACGTACGTTAGCATAGCTGAAAATGTTAGTAGCCGTTTTGAAGCCTGAATTTCCACTTCAGTCCAGGTTTATAGATAACAGTGAGTCATACAGAGTCAGAACCCACACAATCAGGTCTATTAGAGACACTGAACAACTTCTCATGTGTGTATCATTTAAATATGCTGTTAGCACCATGCTAATTGGTGGGGTATATGCTTCCATTACGTGTTAGCTACTTTAGCCTCATAGCTCCAGTGCTAAAACTAAAGAAGCAAACTTCAGACACCAGATGTTTTGGCTGCTGAACTACATTTGGGTTGCGAGTGTGTACGTTTGATCGTTTACTAAACCTATGGCTGTAATGAAACCGGCTCAGTCAGTCTGTAGGTCTGTGGTCTCTCTGTCTGAGCTAACACTGTCCTCCTGTTCTGACCAGCCCCGTGTACGGCTTCATTTTCCTCTTCAAATGGATCGAGGAGCGCCGCTCCAGGAGGAAGGTCTCCACCCTCGTGGACGAAACCTCGGTTATAGACGACGACATCGTCAACGACATGTTCTTCGCTCATCAAGTGAGTCCTGGGTGTTTGCCTTCAGAATACTTTCAACTTTTTATTATTATTATTATTATTATTTACATATATTATTATATTTTTGGTGCCAAAATCATGGAAAACCAAGTTTCTGTTGTTGTTCTGAATTGAGAGTTTGATGTAGTAAAGCTAAGCTGCAGATATGGCCTGTATTGAATCCATAGTGTTTGTGTCGTCACAACTATGAACAAATAGCCTATATGAGACACAAATAAAAAAGTAAAATATAGGGCCCCTTTAAAGGGAAATTCCACTGATTAACTTTCTGCATAATTCAGTGTTTGAGGTGTAATCAGAGAGATTCAGAGTGGTTTGGTGTGAAATGGTCCAGATGTCTTTACAGTGGTGGTGATAGGAACCAGGGGTCGCCATGACTACAACACAGATATAGACACTTTATTTACTGTCCAAACCACCAGTGAACCTACACGAGTCTTCTGAATTTATATGGAATGTTGATGGAAAATAGTGGAAAATCTGAAATAATAAGTTTTCTTTGGGGACTATTTTGCCTCTCTGCATGTATCCCTCCACCATGAGTGTATTCTAAAAATACGTTTTAGGACCAAAATCTTCCCAAAACGATCATAAAACAGTGTCTCAGTCATCAGGCAGTGAATTCATAACCATTTCATGTAGTAACTTTCTGTGAGGGAGCTTTTAGAGGTGGACGTCTGGTTCCTATCACCACCACTGTGAACAGTTCTGACTCGGTAAGTTTCTCCAGAACGGAGCAGAAGAAAGCAGGATGTGTGTTTCTTGTTCTGTCTGACACAGAATGTTTGTTTTGTGTTTATTTTGTGTAGTTGATTCCGAACTCGTGCGCCACTCACGCTTTACTGAGCGTTCTCCTGAACTGCAGCGGGGTGGAGCTCGGAAACACGCTCAGCCGGATGAAAGCTTTCACCAAGGGCTTCAATCCAGAGGTACAGACAGACAGACAGACAGACACGTGGAAAAACCCCTCTGTCCCCTTTATCTGTATCTCCTAAACATTCAGTGTGTTGTTAGGCTTTTCTGTCATTGGATTAAATACACAGCCTGACTGTTACACAGTTTGTATGTAGACTGTAGCTCAAAGCTGCAATCAACAACATGAAAAAGACTCAGTTGTGGCCCATCACTCCTTAAAAATATGGTTCTTCAAGGGTTCTTTAGTAAAGAGAATGGTTCTATGTAGAACCATGAATACACAAAGAACACTTTGCATGCTTAAATGGTTCTTTGCATGGGGAAATGGTTCTTCAAAATGGAGATGTATATTGTTGTATATGGTTCTATATAGCAACAAAAACAGTTCTTCTGTTGTTTCGATGTCAAGCTTGTATGCAATAGCAGAACCCATTTGGATGGATACTTTATTTATCCCGAAGGAAATTAGCTGATTTTTTTGGTGCCATATAGAACCTTTTTCACTTTAGTAGAACTACTAAAGAACCCTTAAAGATCACAGCTAGGATATGTAGCCACAGCGCTAAGCTACAATCTGATGTTTCTTCAATGGTTCTTTACTGAAGAAAATGGTTCCATGAACATTCAAAGAACCCTTTGCATGATTAAAGGGTTCTTTGCATGGTTAAATTGTTATTCATACTGTTGCAGAACGTGCTGTCCATGGTTCTATATAAAACCTTTTTTAAAAGGGTTCTATATAGCACCGCAACAGGTTTCTGCTGTTGTGTACAGGCTTGACATCACAGCAATAGAAGAACTGTTTTTGGTGCTGTATAGAACCATATACAACACATTCTCTGTCAATCTGAAGAACCATTTCTCCATGCAGAGAACCATTTAAGCATGCAAATGGTTCTTTAAGTGTTCAGGATTCTATATAGAACCATTTTCTTTACTAAAGAACCATCTTTTTTCAGAGTGTAGCTCAGCACTGTGTGGTGTGGCTGATATCCTAGCTGTGATAGTACATTTAGGATGGTTTCATCTTTGCTGTATCCTTTTATTGGTGGCTCTGGCGACTCCAGAAGTCAGTGAGAACGTGCTGCGCTCTCCGAAACAGTCCTGAGTTTAAGTGAAAAACCACCTATTCTAATATCAGTTTATCAGAAGTGAAGTTAACTTTCTGCCTGAACAGTTTTGTTCCTCTGTAGTTTCTGTCCTCGGTTTTGAACCGATGGTTTGATTTGGATGATTTCTCTCTTTGTCTCTGCAGAGTAAAGGTTACGCCATCGGAAACGCTCCAGAATTAGCGAAGGCCCACAACAGCCACGCCAGGTACAGCCTCCAGCACCGGAAACACTAACCTGCCTGTCTGAGGTTCTCTGTGTCTTTATTACAGTGATGCACCGCAGTGAGAATTCCAGGCCGAAAAAGAAATTAAAGACACACCCAGTCCGAAAACTAAAATAATGCTTTTGTTTATTTTTCGCTTGCTGTGTAGTCGCTGTAGATTCCTCGAGTTAAATCACGAACACAAGGCGTTCTTTGAGTTACAAGCGTTTAATTTGCACGTCCCTGCCGTCAAACGCCATGAGAACAAATCATATCATGAGTCTTGTGCAATACAACAACATTTGCGTAGAAAATAATCATTAAAAAACAGGTCTCACATTCTAACACACATATAGCTCACAGAATCCATTAAACCGAAGGCTATAAGCCCTTAAACATATAAATAATTAGCTTGTTGAACATTCATGAAAACGTAGATATACCATTACGTTACTATATGAACTCCGTTAGCATTTTAGCTGTAAGCTAACGCATATCCATAAACACAACATGGAAATATACATAACCTTGCCTACCTTACTGGCCACGTTAACTCAAAGAGGGAAGGGTAGAAAACTTCAAGCCTTACCAGTCTTCACTTAAGTCCAATCTTCATTAACTGTAATATACAGCAATGTAATTTAATTATCCTCTTAAGGCTTCAGATGTGCTTTGCTTCTAATCGTAATGCATAGAGTGCACTAACTTAGGCCCAGCCCCATTTCACCCCTCGCCCCACCACTGAGCCCTTAGCCCTCTGTTTTGCGTGTTCACGTCTAGGGGTAGGGTGTCCCGATTTTTGTTGAGATAGAGGGGTAGGGTGAAGTGTTGGGGCTACATGGCCCTCCAAACAGAGGTTTTTCAGAGACTCCAAAGAGAGAGATATGAGAAAAAAAGAAAAACCGGCAAGATGGCTGAACAAGAGACCAAAGAAACCCACAAATGTGAGAATTTTCTCAGTTAAAAATTACGATAACCATTTTGTTATTGTAGTTCAGTGTCGTTTTGGTCGTTTTCTTCATAACAAACATAAAAAATCGCTAATAGCATGCTAACGTCTCAGTGGCTAGCAAGCTAACTTTCCCGTTCCACCTTAAATAGTCCAGCAGTTCTGATGCCTGAGGTGCCAGAATGTAACTGCTGAGCCATTTAAGGTGGAACGGGAAAATTCGAACAAGAATCTGGTGAATATCTGACTTCAGCTTCATATCACTGAAGAATTAGGGGTGGGTGATAATAAATAATTGCCCCCCCCTTTGAAGGCATATGATGCCCTAAATGTAACTAAAGCCCAGCAGTGAGGAGCTGAACTTTACCCTCCTCTGCTGTCACTGCAGACTGGCAGGGTCACCTACAGAGCAGCACTAGTAGCTGTTAATGAAGTGATGCTCTTTTTATTTGTTTATTTTTATTTCATGGTTTTATTTCGTAGGTCAAGATTTCAACCACTACCCCTTGTAACTCAGTTCCAGGTTAGGGTAAAACTCAAAAACAAGGGGTAGGGGTAAAAAAGAAGAAATGGGATTGGGCCTTAGAGTCCAACCCAATTCTATGATACAAAAATATTGGTTCCACTAAGGTTTATACAAGTGCCTTTACACGAATGTTATGTACTTATATTTATGTCAACCAACAGAATTAAATTACGAACTCAAACTGCACAACTGAGTTTGACGGCAGGTACATGCTATTTTATTTATGATTTTAAGTCAACAATATCACAAAAAACAAGGTAATAAAGAAAATAGTTTTATTATTATTATAGTTATTATTATAGTTATTATTATTGATTAAATTGGACAAAACTGAGCTGATTATAAAGTGAAAGTTTACATAAAACAAACTTCTATTGTGCACCTGTGAAATCCAACATCCTCGACAACAGAGAATCGTTTGTCATCCAAGTCAGTGATTTCCATGATTGTTTAGTCATTCTCTGCACCTTGTCTGGCGTTTTCTTGCAGTGATGTTCCTTTTTGCTTCTGTAGTGGAGAAGTTCTTGGTTGCTCTCGTGTCTCAAGTTTCTCATAGAAACATAGTAAAACAGTTTCACACGTCTGATATTTTCACTGTTGATCTGCTGCTCAGACTGTTTGAATGCGTCTGTGCTGACCAGCGAAAGGAAAAAAAAAGTTTCATTTTCATTACCGTTAAAATTATTTTTAAAGTCTTAGATTTTTATGTTTTTACATTGTCAGCCTATTTCATTTTTTTTGCCAAAGCATTTATTCCTTTTTCCATTTTGGCTTAAAACTGAAAATGTCACTTTTCTCTCTAAATGTTTTGTGAGGCCGAAATTTCGGTACATCGCTATTTTGTTGTGAGTGGATGGATAGAATAAAACAGCATCTCTTCACACTCTTAAAAATAAACGTGCCTAAAATGGTTCTTTGGAGTAAAGCCATAGATGAAACACCCTCAGCTTCCTAAAGAACCTTTCAATAGATGTTTTTTTAACCCTTGTGTGGTGTTCAGGCCTGTGGGACCCATTTTCAGTGTCTTCACTCTGTTCACCCCCCACACATTTATATTACACATGTGGTGTTGGGCTGAACCTACAGGGAGTAAAAGTGTGGAGGTGCTGTGTCCTTCACTCTGTTCTCCTCCTACATGGCCTGCTGTTAGTGTGTGTGTGTGTGTGTGTGTGTGTGTGTGTGTGTGTGTGTGTGTGTGTGTGTGTGTGTGTGAGAGGGTGGACAACATGGACAGGCTGCTGACTGGCTACAGCTGCTAAAGGAGAACCCTACGCTGGACACTTGTGATATTTTAAACATCTGGTATTTCTACATAAATTGTTATGACTGTATTGATTTAATAAACAGTAATGCGGTGGGTCCAGCAGACCACTGAGTAACAAACACATCAACACCACACAAGGGTTAAAGATCCATTGCTGTAAATGAGATGTGTGAGCAGGAAACGTTTTTTAAAGGTTAAAGAACCTCCACATAACGTAAAGGTGCTGTACCACCTGACGGAACCATTTAGGAACCTTTATTTTTAAGATTGCAGGTTTATTGAACCTGTTTTTCTCTTCACAGACAAAAGTGCTGCATTAAATAAACATCATTTCCACATGAATGAAATATCAGCACAGTTACTGCTGAAAGTCAGTAACCAGAGAGGCGGTAATTGTGTTGATGTGTTTTATTTATGAGGAAATGATGAACACATCTGAGTCGAGTCAGTTCAATTCATCACATTTTTTGGTGTGCTTCACTTCTCTCTTCTCTTGTTTCCATGGAGACCGGAACCGCGGCACTTGCCGGAGAAGCAGAACGGCATCAGTGCCGTCCGGACGATGGAGGCTTTTCACTTTGTCAGCTACGTGCCCATTAAAGACCGCCTGTTCGAGCTGGACGGACTCAAGGCCTACCCGATAGACCACGGTGAGCCTAATAATAATAACAACAATGGTAGTAATAATAATAATAATAATAACTACAACATCAACGACAAACATCATCACAATCATCATAAAAATAAAATATAATATTAATTATAGTAATGAAAATAATGTATTATAATATAATAAATATATAACATAAAAACTACATTAATTTAATTAAATTAATTGTATGTTTTATATTCTTATTCTTTACACACAGTTTCTTTTCTTTCCGTATTGTGTTTTTTAGGAGTGTTTTTTATAGTTTATGTATTATATGCATTTCTTGACTGTGTGACCAATAAAGCATGATTTGATTTGAACAACAACAAGAAAAACAACAATAATAATAATTATAATGGCAATAATGGAAATAATCATGTTGTCAATACTATTAGTAGTATGTGAGTTAACTATTATTACAATAATAATAAAATAATGTATTTTGTGGTATTTTGTGTGTTGCACATTATATATTAAAAAATTCTTCTCGAAATGCTTCAGTTTATGTACGAAAAAGCAAAAGATCAAAGGAGCGTTTAAATAGAAATGGGGAAAAAATGAAAACAATTCCTTAAATAAGTAAAAGGGTAGGATCATGTATTATTTATATATCCCTCAGTGATGTATTAGGAACACTTTGATTAAGAGTCCCTACTTAAGCCTTCATAAAACATTAATAACATCTACATAACTTGCTCATAAATCCTGGGTAGTTGTTAATCTATTCTTATTTTAAGAACCCAGTTAAAAAAAGTCTATATAAATGTCCATAAATTATGTAAATCTAAAAGTTTCATGAAGTCACAGATTATGTACTTTATGATACACTGGAGACTGTTAACACACCTCTCTCTCTCTCTCTCTCTCTCGCTCTCTCGCTCTCTCTCTCTCTCTCTCTCTCTCGTTTCTCACACAGGTCCTTGGGGAGAGGAGGAGGAGTGGACAGATAAAGCTCGGAGGGTCATTATGGAAAGAATCGGCCTTGCGACAGCAGGGTGAGGTCCCGTTTAAAGCGATAGTTCCAGATTGACCAAATTTTCACGTAGAAAATCAGCAAAAGCTGCAATTTGACCGTGGGTGCTTGTGGAGCTGTTCAGTATCTCTAATAGACTTGATTGTGTGGTTTCTGATACTCTATGACTCACTGTTACCTATAAACATGGACTAAAGTATGTTAGCATATCTAAAACAGCAGCAGTTTTCCTGAAGCCTGAATTTAGGATTATTGGGAATTTTGCTGTCGGAGTGAAAAGTGTGTAAATTAATTTTTTAGCCAAACTGTCACTTTAAGACACATTTATAAGCAGCGTATTAAAGCTCATGCTGTAAAATCCACTCAGTCTCAGGATACGAGCTGAGTAAATACAGAACTACTGCCACAGGATCCTGAGCAGGTTCTCCTCTTTTCCTCAGAGAACCGTACCACGATATCCGCTTCAACCTGATGGCGGTGGTGCCGGACCGCAGGATGAAGTACGAGTCTAGACTGGAGGTTCTCAAACGGAACCGGCAGATCGTTCTGGAAGGCCTGCAGCAGGTCAGTGTGTGGACGGATGACTGAGCCCTCTGAGCACCATGTGTCTCTCTGTCTGATGGCCGAGCTGGAGGAATAAAGTAAATCGGGGTCCTGAATGTTTATCTAAGCCAGGGGTCTCAGACGAAGATCATCTGGGGGCCACTAGCCATTTAGAGTTTTTCAAAAAAAGTTTCCCATCATTTTTTAAACGATTGAATCTTGACTATTTCATATATTTAATATGTTATAAATATTTTGTACGTAACGTGTTTAATTTTAGACCCCATTAACACCTGGTCACTTCCTGTCTCTGGTATCTGGATTGTAACCTGATAATAGTTTAGCCACATGCGTTTACATTTGCTGGTCAAACGTGTCTCTGGTTAGTCAGACTGAAATCTGATCGCTATGTGGGACGGATATGTAAATTTGCTTATTTTGTGGCAACCAGTTACCAATAGCTTATCTGTTCAGCCTCTTCATCTGCAGCTTGCTCTGCACAGTAGAGTCCGTCTGTTTTACTGTTAAGGATTCTGTTTCGTCCAGTGTGATTATCGTCCTCACAGACGCGGATCACGTGCCCAGTGACGTACTGCATGGGAAGGGGTTTCAGTTGTACTGGGAAGGGGTTTCAGTTGCACTAGGAGGAGTTTTTGGCTGTACTGGGAAGGGTTTTTGGTTGTACTGGGAAGGGTTTTTGGTTGTACTGGGAGGGGTTTCAGTTGCACTAGGAGGAGTTTTTGGCTGTACTGGGAAGGGTTTTTGGTTGTACTGGGAAGGGTTTTTGGTTGTACTGGGAGGAGTTTCAGTTGCACTAGGAGGGGTTTTTGGTTGTACTGGGAAGGGTTTTTGGTTGTACTGGGAGGGGTTTTGGTTGTACTGGGAGGAGTTTCAGTTGCACTAGGAGGAGTTTTTGGCTGTACTGGGAAGGGTTTTTGGTTGTACTGGGAAGGGTTTTTGGTTGTACTGGGAGGGGTTTCAGTTGCACTAGGAGGAGTTTTTGGCTGTACTGGGAAGGGTTTTTGGTTGTACTGGGAAGGGTTTTTGGTTGTACTGGGAGGAGTTTCAGTTGCACTAGGAGGGGTTTTTGGTTGTACTGGGAAGGGTTTTTGGTTGTACTGGGAGGGGTTTTGGTTGTACTGGGAGGAGTTTCAGTTGCACTAGGAGTTGTTTTTGGCTGTACTGGGAAGGGTTTTTGGCTGTACTGGGAAGGGTTTTTGGTTGTACTTGGAGGGGTTTTTGGTTGTACTGGGAGGAGTTTCAGTTGCACTAGGAGGAGTTTTTGGTTGTACTGGGAAGGGTTTTTGGTTGTACTGGGAGGAGTTTCAGTTGCACTAGGAGGGGTTTTTGGTTGTACTGGGAAGGGTTTTTGGTTGTACTGGGAAGGGTTTTTGGTTGTACTGGGAGGAGTTTCAGTTGCACTAGGAGGAGTTTTTGGTTGTACTGGGAAGGGTTTTTGGTTGTACTGGGAAGGGTTTTTGGTTGTACTGGGAGGAGTTTCAGTTGCACTAGGAGGGGTTTTTGGTTGTACTGGGAAGGATTTTTGGTTGTACTGGGAGGGGTTTTCGGTTGTACTGGGAGGAGTTTCAGTTGCACTAGGAGGAGTTTTTGGTTGTACTGGGAAGGGTTTTTGGTTGTACTGGGAAGGGTTTTTGGTTGTACTGGGAGGAGTTTCAGTTGCACTAGGAGGGGTTTTTGGTTGTACTGGGAAGGATTTTTGGTTGTACTGGGAGGGGTTTTTGGTTGTACTGGGAGGAGTTTCAGTTGCACTAGGAGGAGTTTTTGGTTGTACTGGGAAGGGTTTTTGGTTGTACTGGGAGGGGTTTTCGGTTGTACCGGGAGGGGTTTTGGTTGTTGAATGTGTCGTGGAGAGATGGATGTGTTTGCGCTGCTATAACGTGTCTCAGATGCGTCTCAGTCCACCACCTGAAGTGGTTTGATCAGATTTGTATCTGTTTTAAATGCATTTTGGCTGCATTTACACTGATATTTTTATGTGGCCTCATCCAGATATAATCCTGATAGTCAAGCGCATGAAGTGACCAGGTGTAAACAGTTTTCATTAGCAGGTTACCTACAGAATCACTTGTTATGCAGCTTCAGCTATTTCTCTCCTGTAACAGATAATGGAGCTCTCTGTGTTGTTGTCTTTTTTTTTTTAAGTCGCAAAGCTTAAAAAACGAAAAAAAGGCTGTTTAGTGTTTAGACAGAAAAACTCACTTTCAGTTTTTCAAAGAAATCTGCTGGGATGTTTTTCCACACCTCCAAAGTTCAGTCTTCGAAGTTGGTTTAGCCTTTTCTGCTTCTCACCATCCAAATAATCCCAAACACATTCGGTGATGTCGAGGTCTGGACTCTGGGGTGGTCAGTTCATTGTTCTGAGAACAGCAGCAGCTTCTTTGTTTGATTTGCAGTGAATTACATGGTTTTGTTTGTGTGTCTGTTTTCCAGGCGATTCGAGCGTCCCAGCCGGATGCACAGCAGGACCGAAAACAGACAGACTCCTCCCCTTCCGAAGACACGCCCACTACAGTGAAAAAAGAGGAGCCGTCAGACACACCAGTGAGTGCTGAACAAGCTCCTCCTGCAGGTACGTGATGCGCTTGTTTTGTTTTTCCTTTTTGCTGTCGTTCTTATGAGCTTTTTAATCTGGTTTATTAGATTTATTAAAATCAGGAAAACAGTGTGACAGTGACAGATGTGTATACAGAGGACTGTAGATATATATCCATATGATTCTTCATGTAGATTCTGCGGATGGTGCGAGTGTCCCAGCAGCCCCCAGTTCCTCAGATAAACCTAAAAGCATGCCGAAGCCCCCCACTCAGCCAGCAGGGGGGGCTGCCCCGCCACCACCAGCTCCACCCGCTCCGCCTGCTCCCCTGCCCATGGCCAGCCCAAGCCCCATCGTCCAACGCCTGCCTGCCTTCCTGGACAACCACAATTACGCCAAGTCCCCCATGCAGGTGAGCGTGAGGAGGTGGGCAGAAAAAGACCAGCAGGGTATATATATCGGTATAAAACAGGGACAGTGTGCTGTGCAGCTGTGCTGTATACACTGACCAGCCACTTCATTAAGTCCACCTCCTTGTTTCTACACTCACTGTCCATTTTATCAGCTCCACTGACCATATAAGAGCACTTTATAGAGTTACAGACTGTAGTCCATCTGTTTCTCTGCATACTTTCTTACCCTGTTCTTCAGTGGTCAGGACCCCCATGGTACTATTTGGGTGGTGGATCATTCTCAGCACTGCAGTAACACTGACGTGGTGGTGGTGTGTTAGTGCGTGTTGTGCTGGTCTGAGTGGATCAGGCACAGCAGTGCTGCTGGTGTCTTTAAACACCTCAGTGTCACTGCTGGACTGAGAATAGTCCACCAAGTGTCTGTGTACTGAAATTTACTGAAATACAACAAAACAACAACAACTGGGTAACAGTTTATTTGGATTGTCCACTTTAGATGCTTTGTAGATAATTTACTTTTAAGTTACGTTCAACTGAATATCCACTAAATTGACCATCATTGTCTTTAAACCTGGTCTAATCCTAATTCTAACTTTAACCTCAACCTAAAGCCAACCCTCACCCCGGTCCAAACCTAACGCTGGTCCAAATCCTAACCCCACCACTGTTTAGAATCAACTGCGTTTCAACAGATAGTTTGTTAACAGTTTGAACATCTGTAGAGAATCTATAGGGGGCTGTAGTGGACTATCCAGATAAAGTGAGACCAAAAACTGTTCTGCAGTGCAGACAGCTAACAAAATGCTCTTCACAGATGTCCGGATGTGTTAATGATGTGTTAATGATGTGTTAATCCATTAGTTCATTAATTGCGGAACACCATTCAGGATCGTTCTGGCCCAGTTTAATTTGCTCACATTAATATCCATGTAGGAAGAGGAGGATCTGGCTGCAGGGGTGGGTCGCCCTCGCGTTCCTGGACCCCCTCAACCAGCCTACTCTGATGATGAGGAGGACTATGAGGATGAAGAGGAGGAAGAGTGTGGAGCTGCTGGAACTTCTAGCAGGTATAGAACCGTGTTAATGTGCATTTGTGGGGAAATATGGAATAAACGTGTGCAGTTAATCAGTGTGAGAGCTGGAAAGCTCCTCTGCGGATGGCTGCTTTGAGCTCTTGGGAAGCCTGACGGCCTGCAGACATCTTAGAATGACTGGGGGCCGCAGTGGGCCGCTATAGAGGTTTCAGAAAAATCTCACTGTGTCTCTACTGAGTTTAATTTATAGATCCGCTTCAGCTGTGTTTATTAAAGTCGTGCTCATCATGGTGAATTTTATTAAATGTTATTAAAACGAAATACATCCAAATACAAAATACAGCCAGGCACAGCCGAGCCGCACCAACTTCACAAGTTATGTAATAGCATAGAACAGTACGGAGCCCTGCTGGTGACGTCCAGTATAAATACAAATAACACGTGGCCATGACTTAGTAAGGCCTAGGAATGAGATCATGCCTTATTAAGCCGTGGTCAAAGCTTAATCATCTCATTTGCATGCCTTACTAAGTCATGGCCATGCATTAAGATCATGTTCCTATGCCTTACCAAGTTGTGGCCGCCCGTTAGGATCTTGTTCCATGCCTTACTAAGTCGTGGCCACACATTGGGATCTCTTTCTCACGCCTTACTAAATTGTGGCCACGCATTAGGATTTGATTTCCACACCCTACTAAATCATGGCCACGTGTTAGGATCTCGTTCCCACACCTTACTAAGTCATGGCCACCCATTAGGATCTTGTTCCCATGCCTTACTTAGTCATGGCCACGATTTAATCACCTCGTTCCCACACCTTACTAAGTTGTGGCCACACATTAAGATCATGTTCCCATGCCTTACCAAGGTGTGGCCGCCCGTTAGGATCTTGTTCCATGCCTTACTAAGTCGTGGCCACACATTGGGATCTCTTTCTCACGCCTTACTAAATTGTGGCCACACATTAGGATTTGATTTCCACACCCTACTAAATCATGGCCACGTGTTAGGATCTCGTTCCCACACCTTACTAAGTCATGGCCACCCATTAGGATCTTGTTCCCATGCCTTACTTAGTCATGGCCACGATTTAATCACCTCGTTCCCACACCTTACTAAGTCGTGGCCACACATTAGGATCTCTCTCTCACGCCTTACTAAATTGTGGCCACGGGTTAGGATTTTGTTCCCACACCTTACTAAATCATGGCCACACGTTAGGATCTCATTCCCACACCTTACTAAATCATGGCCACCCATTAGGATCTCGTTCCCACACCTTACTAAATCATGGCCACCCATTAGTATCTCGTTCCCACACCTTACTAAGTCGTGGCCACCCATTAGGATCTCATTGCCGTGCTTTACTAAGTCATGGCCACATATTAGGATCTTGTTCCCACATCTTACTAAGTCATGGCCACCCGTTAGGATCTCGTTCCCACACCTTACTAAATCATGGCCACGCATTAGGATCTCATTCCCACACCTTACTAAGTCGTGGCCGCCCATTAGGATCTTGTTCCCATGCCTTACTTGGTCATGGCCATGATTTAATCACCTCGTTCCCATGCCTTACTAAGTTGTGGCCACACATTAGGATCTCTTTCTCACGCCTTACTAAATTGTGGCCACGCATTAGGATTTTGTTCCCACGCCTCATTAAAGCGTGGCCACGCATTAGGATCTTGTTCCCACGCCTTACTAAGTTGTGGCCACACATTAGGATCTCTTTCTCACGCCTTACTAAATTGTGGCCATGCGTTAGGATTTTGTTCCCACACCTTACTAAATCATGACCACACATTAGGATCTCGTTCCCACACCTTACTAAGTCGTGGCCACCCATTAGGATCTCGTTCCCACGCCTTACTAAGTCATAGCCATGGTTTTTAGGATCTCGTATATAGATTATGTTCTTTGAGGTGCTCAGTGGTAAAAAGTCAGAATCACATGAGTGAAGCAGGAACTCCTTCACCAAAGGTGACCGTTTCGGAGTTTGTTTGTGTTCAATATTCCATATCAAGTAGAATCAAATCCAGTAAAATCAATTTGTGATTGACAGGTTCCGCAGAAAGACGAGTCTCCGAACAAGGGCCGTGGCACGCAGCACCGCTGGAGGGGGCGGAGTCTCGGGCGTTGAAGGCCAGCTGGCTCTGAGCATGCTCGCTGAGAAGCTGAAGAAGGAGGCGCAGAGGAAGGACACCATGGCGACGGTGGCAGGCTCCACCCCCCTGAATGTGCGCACAGAGGGGCGCACAGGCGGCATCAGCATCACCTCCGCATCACAACCGTCTCCGACGCCCAGCAACGAGAGCACGGACACGGCGTCCGAGATCGGCAGCGCGTTCAACTCACCGCTGCGCTCACCTGCGCGCTCGCAGGTACGCAGAGGAAATATCTAGAACCTAGAGTGGAGTATTATCTAGAGTATATTGTGGGGTTTTGTCTATAGTCAGTAGGGGGGGTGTTGTCCAGAGCCCATAGGGGAATATTATAGAGCCCTGAGTGGAGTTTTAGCTAGAGCCTATAGTTGGGTATTTATAGAACCTAGTGTGGAGTGTTATCTAGAGCCTGTAGAGGGCTATTGTCTAGAGTCAGTAGTGGGGTATTACAGAAACTACAGTGAAGGTTTGTCTAGAGCAGTGGTTCTTAAATGAGTATTATCTAGAACATACGGCTGGGTATTATAATACCTACTGTGGTCTATTATCTAGACTCAGTAGGTGGCATAATCCATACCCTATAGCTGGGTATTTTAGAACTTAAGGGAAATTGTTATCTAGTGCCTATAGTAGGGTATTACGTTATCTGGAGCCTACAGTGTATGGTTTATATAACCTAAAGTGGAGTGTTATCTAGAGCTTATAATGGGGTATGATGAAACCTACAGTGGAGTATTATCTAGAGCATATTGCTGGGTATTATAGAACCTACTGTGTTGTATTATCTAGAGTCAGTACAGTAGTGGGCATTATCTAGAGCCTATATTGGGGTATTACACAACCTTAAGTGGAGTGTTATCTAGAGCTTACAGTGAGATGATATTTAGACTCGGTAGAGGGGGTATTATATAACCTAGAGTGGAGTACCGTCTAGAGGCTGTTGTGTATTGTTTAGAATAAGTAGTAGAGCTTTATCCAGAGCCTACAGTACAGTATTATAGAACCTACATTGTTTTATTTGTAGTCAGTAGTAGAACTGTATCTAGAGCCTAAAATGGAATATGTAGAACATAGAGTATTATCTAGAGCTTACACTGAGGTTCACAGTGAGGTGTTTACAGCCTACAGAGGGTTATTTCTAGGGCCTATATGATGGTATTATCCGGAGCTTATCTAGAACAGACTGTAATAATATCCCGTTTTTGTAATAGGCTGCCACGCGCCCCTCCAGCCCCGTGGCGTCCCACCTGAGCCGCGTGCTGTTCGGTGAAGATGAAGGCTTACTGCGTTTGGACGCTCGACACAACCGCGCAGTCCGTGACCTCGGAACGCTGGTCAGCTCCACACGACTGCAGCTGAGGGAGGACGGCACCATGTCCGCACTGCCCCCTGCAGGTGAGGAGATCTAACACGCAGGCATATACGACCTGCTGATGAATTGTTGTGTTTACAGTTTACTTCATGAGTGCATCCTCAAAAAAAAGGAAAGAAAAGTTAGGCTTGATTATATTCTCATTATTTGTATTTGCAACCTATTTTTAAAAAAAATAAATAAAAAATAAATAAAAGACGGCGGTGGGACGGATGTCCAGCTTATGTGTCTCAGAACACGACGTCTTCCTCTCGGCCTTCTTTAATAAGGACATGTGAAGGACGTTTTCCTGAGTCTGACATCATTTTAAAGTAATTAAAAACACAAGCACTGCTCACTGCTGCTCATCTCACTCTGACTGGACTCACGTGATGCTGGTTGTCATGGTAACGTCTACACTTAGCAGTTCTCCATGCATGCTTGGCATGTTGGATCTGATTACTTGTAGTGAGCATGTAAACTGAGATTTTCATCAGATTGTTGAGTGGAGTGAGAATAAACACCTCAGTCTGAATCTATAATCAGAATGAATTCAATCAGATTGGAGAAAATCTTTGCATGTAAACAGAGACAGTGACTCAGTGAGCTTTCACTGAACTATTTTAATTCCATTTTGGTCTTGCTTGTGATTTCTTTGTCATCTGTGCTGGAGACTCGGATAACGAGGCCGATTTTCTTTTGTCTGTGTCAGAAGGAGCATCTGAAGGGGTGAAAAAAGCGAACGGAGTGGAGAAGAGCGAGAAGAAAGACGGGGAGGAGGAGAGGGGGAAGGAGGGAGCATCGCAGGAGCTGAAAGTCAAAGAGGAGAGTAAAGAGACGATGGATGAAAAAACAACCACGGAAAGCCCCACCTTCGCCGAGCCCGAGGCCGTCATCAAACCGACCGGAGAGAAATACACGCCTAAAGTGAGGCTCAGTTTAGATATGATGGTTTATTTTAAGGGCTGTGTTGTGCCGGATGTTGTGTAGAACAGGCTGCACCACACACACTAGTTTTAACACTGAGCTTAGTATCTGCTAAATATTTACACAGGTGAAACTGCTGGAGACGCCAATGGAAACAACATAGAAAGTGCCACAACATAGAAAATAGACCAAAAACAAGACATTTTTGGTCCTGGTTTTAACTCTAAACATGAACCTAACACACACAGCTCCAATTCAGTGAGGCTAAAAATCCATTAAAATGTGCAGAAGTGTTTTAGAGGATGATCTTAACTTAAAACCAACATAACAGGTCATTTGACCAGCGGCGGTCAAACTTTTTCATTCAACTGTATAAAAGTGACCTCTATTCTGATTGCACATCGTTCAAAAAGCAATCTGTGTCTAATCTGATGCTGCTGCTCTTGACACTTAACCAGAAACTGTCGTTTGAAAAGCTGCATCTCAGTTGCAGAAGGAAATATTACAGAATAAACAGACAATGACTACAGTTTTATATTCAGTTCAGCGTGTAGGCAGTGTTTTCTTCTAGTTGCTGTTGCGTTTCCATAGCAGCAGGTTTATAGACTGTTTCCAAACATGTTAATATAATGTTAAAGCGATGTACGCCTTAAGTAGTTGTTAGGTAGTAGTTAAGATGTGATTAAAGGTGCAGTGTGTAAGATTTAGTGGCATCTAGTGGTGAGATTGCAGATGACAACCAGCTGAATCTCCTCCCTCATCCCTCCCTCTCCAAGCGTGTAGCAGAACCTACGGTGGCCGTCAGGTTTTCTGCCGTCGTCTGTCCTGAATTCGTTTTGCTTCATGTTTTCTCTTTGACGGTGAGGATTCACCCTCTCTCACTTCTTCTTGTGCTAAATAATAAGTTTGATCCTCCATTTGTCTAAATTTGGGTTCTCAAACTTCTCACAATATAAAACGGTCAGCAGCACCGGCAACAACCACTGATTCTTCTACTTTCTACGTCCAGCCGGAGCTACAGCGCCACCAAATTCAAGCTGCCGCTTCAGCGTAAAAACAAGCAAGATGCCCTCTAGAGGCAGTGTTTGGTGTGTCCGTTCTGGGCTACTGTAGAAACTTGGTGGCACAACGTGGCGGCCTCTGTTGGAGAGGAGCCGATCCATATGCAGATATGAAGGGCTCATTCTAAACTAACGAAAACACAACGATTCGTAGTTACAGCTGATTATACAGTAATGAAAACATGGTTTTGTTTACTATATTCATTTCTGCTAATAGACCCCCCTAAATCTCTCACGCTGCACCTTTAAGGATTTGTGGTGCAGCTAAATTTAGTAAACCAGTGCAGCTCAGTCCTGTCCTGTTGTTGAATTTTGTTTTGGCTGTATTTGTTATTGCATCTGTCTCTTTGTAGGAGTTGCTGGCTCTGCTGAAGTATGTGGAGGCTGATATTTCTAACTATGAGGTTTGTCTCAAAGAGGAGGTGGAGAAGAGGAAGAAATACAAGGTACAAACTCTGCACTCTGTTCCTTTATTCACCACATGGGCTACATGATGGGATTAAAACAAGCAGAATTTTTCACCTGAAACTGGAGAATTTTGTCTCGAAAGTGCAGACACTGCCTCAGAGTTCATAACACTGCCTCAGAGTTCATAACACTGTCAGAGTTCATATCACTGCCTCAGAGTTCATATCACTGCCTCAGAGTTCATAACTCTGCCTCAGAGTTCTGTACGCTGTCTCATGATAATTGGACCGAATAGAATAAAGAATAAAGTAATTTTACATTGATTTCCATTAAAAGTTAAAATGTATTTATATTCTCTTGATGTTTTTGAGAAATGAAGTTACACTAATAAAGACAAACATAACAGCTTTGATGGTTTCTGTTCCAGATTGATGATCAGAGAAGAACCCATAACTACGATGAGTTCATCTGCACATTCATCTCCATGCTGGCACAAGAAGGTAAAGACCTGCCTGAAGCTCTTCTCTTCTCTTCTCTTCTCTTCTCTTCTCTTCTCTCAGCTTTCCTCTTCTCTTCTCTTCTCTTCTCTTCTCTTCTCTTCTCTTCTCTTCTCTTCTCTTCTCTCAGCTTTCCTCTTCTCTTCTCTCAACTTTCCTCTTCTCTTCTCTTCTCTTCTCTCAGCTTTCCTCTTCTCTTCTCTCAACTTTCCTCTTCTCTTCTCTTCTCTTCTCTCAGCTTTCCTCTTCTCTTCTCTCAACTTTCCTCTTCTCTTCTCTTCTCTTCTCTTCTCTTCTCTTCTCTCAACTTTCCTCTTCTCTTCTCTTCTCTTCTCTCAGCTTTCCTCTTCTCTTCTCTCAACTTTCCTCTTCTCTTCTCTTCTCTTCTCTTCTATTCTCTTCTCTCAACTTTCCTCTTCTCTTCTCTTCTCTTCTCTCAACTTTCCTCTTCTCTTCTCTCAACTTTCCTCTTCTCTTCTCTTCTCTTCTCTTCTCTCAACTTTCCTCTTCTCTTCTCTTTTCTTCTCTTCTCTTCTCTCAACTTTCCTCTTCTCTTCTCTTCTCTCAACTTTCCTCTTCTCTTCTCTCAACTTTCCTCTTCCCTTCTCTCAGCTTTCCTCTTCTCTTCTCTTCTCTTCCCTTCTCTCAGCTTTCCTCTTCTCTTCTCTTCTCTTCCCTTCTCTCAGCTTTCCTCTTCTCTTCTCTTCTCTTCTCTTCTCTTCTCTTCTCTTCTCTTTCCTTCTCTCAGCTTTCCTCTTCTCTTCTCTTCTCTTCTCTTCTCTTCTCTTCTCTCAACTTTCCTCTTCTCTTCTCTTCTCTTCTCTCAACTTTCCTCTTCTCCTCTCTTCTCTTCTCTTCTCTTCTCTCAACTTTCCTTTTCTCTTCTCTCAACTTTTCTCTTCTCTTCTCTTCTCTTCTCTTCTCTCAACTTTCCTCTTCTCTTCTCTCAACTTTCCTCTTCTCTTCTCTTCTCTTCTCTTCTCTCAACTTTCCTCTTCTCCTCTCTTCTCTTGTCTTTTTTTCTCTTCTCTTCTCTTCTCTCAACTTTCCTCTTCTCTTCTCTTCTCTTCTCTCAACTTTCCTCTTCTCTTCTCTTCTCTTCTCTTCTCTTCTCTTCCCTTCTCTCAGCTTTCCTCTTCTCTTCTCTTCTCTCCTCTTCTCTCAACTTTCCTCTTCTCTTCTCTTCTATTCTCTTCTCTCAACTTTCCTCTTCTCTTCTCTTCTCTTCTCTCAACTTTCCTCTTCTCTTCTCTCAACTTTCCTCTTCTCTTCTCTTCTCTTCCCTTCTCTCAACTTTCCTCTTCTCTTCTCTTCTCTTCTCTTCTCTTCTCTTCCCTTCTCTCAACTTTCCTCTTCTCTTCTCTCAACTTTCCTCTTCTCCTCTCTTCTCTTGTCTTTTTTTCTCTTCTCTTCTCTCAACTTTCCTCGTCTCTTCTCTCAACTTTCCTCTTCTTTTCTCTTCTCTTCTCTCAACTTTCCTCTTCTCTTCTCTTCTCTTCTCTTCTCTCAGCTTTCCTCTTCTCTTCTCTTCTCTCAACTTTCCTCTTCTCTTCTCTTGTCTTTTTTTCTCTTCTCTTCTATCAACTTAACTCTTCTCTTCTCTCAACTTTCCTCGTCTCTTCTCTCAACTTTCCTCTTCTCTTCTCTTCTCTTTTTTCTCTGCTATCAACTTTCCTCTTCTCTTCTCTTCTCTCAACTTTCCTCTTCTCTTCTCTTCTCTTCTCTTCTCTTCTCTCAACTTTCCTCTTCTCTCAACTTTCCTCATCTCTTCTCCTCTGACCCTTTATCCTCTCTTCTCTTGTTCTCTGATCTCTTTTCTTCTCTGACCCTTTATCCTTCTCTTCTTTTCTTCTCTTCTCTTCTTCTCTGTCCCTTTATCTTCTCTTCTCTCAACTCCTTTTCTCTTCTCTTGTTCTATGATTTCTTCTCTTCTCTTGTTCTTGTCTCTTCCCTCATCTTTTTTTTCTCTTCTAACTTTTTTCTTCTCTTCTCTCATCTTTTTTCCTTTCTTCTCTTTTTTTTCTGTTTTGTTCTCAACCTTTTTCTTCTCTTCTCTCAACTCCTTTGTTCTCTTCTCACGTCTTCTTTTCATCTCTTCAGTTCTTGCTGCTGCTACATCAAACTCTTTTTATTTAAATAAAAAAAGTGAGAAAATTGAGATTTTCTATGATATGGTCCTTTTATCATGTACTTTATACTAGAAACCAGCACCAAGTATGTGTGGACGATTTTTTCTCTCTCTCTCTCTCTCTCTCTCTCTCTCTCTCTCTCTGTAGGGATGCTGGCGAGTCTGGTGGAGCAGAATATTTCGGTGCGCAGGCGGCAGGGCGTGAGCATCGGTCGCCTCCATAAACAGCGCAAACCGGACCGCCGGAAACGCTCTCGGCCTTACAAGACCAAACGCCAGTAAACACAGACTCACTGCGAAAGGCGCTTCTGAAGAACACTGACTCACTTAGTCCAGCGCTGTGGACTCACCTAAATTGACCAGTTTGTGTCCCAGAAGCAGCTGTGACCTGTAAAGCGTCCACTGATTAGAAAGCAGTGATGCTCTGGTGGACTCTGCTGCTGTAATTCTCATTGACTGATCAGTCTAAAACGACTCTCATTAACCCTTTAGTGTCCGCATCTCAGATGTTACGTTTTCTTCGGTCCGTTTGTCCTCTGATGATTTTTTTTTCAAACAAATCAGTTTTCTAACTTATCTGGTCACTATTCATTTTTAGAAAACAACAGACAATCAATGCATTTGATTGTGGAAAAAAGTATGAAAATGACATGAGTAAAAAATTTAGTAATGAGTACTGTTAGAAATATTTTATATATTTTGTATATATCTATACAACATTTTGTCATTTAGACCAATCAGAACATTGTGTAACATTTTCCCATCATACTAAATTTAGTTGTTGGGCTTTAAGGGGTTAAAATAGTTGGAATTTTAATTAATATTAAAATTAAAAAATTAAAATGTTTGTTTTACGTGTATTAAGCCAACATATTATTCTCAGTCAGTCATTCAGATTCTAGTAGTTTTATTTCAATAATAAGTGTATCATAAATATTCTGTGCTTTAATATTAATTAAAATTCCACTAATTTAGGAGTAAAATCATTTCACTGAGTTCTTTAATGAGAATTACAGCAGCAGCTCGTACAATACAGACGGGACTTCACCGGCCGGACCAATCACAGACTTTGTTCATCTGACTTTTCAGTCTGCTAGAGTTCAAAATCTGAGAAAGTCTTTGTTTGTTTGTTTTTAAGCGTGTGTGTTTGTAAATGTGTTTATGCTAATTAAACAGAGCTCGTTTGTGCCGGTTCAGCCCAAATGATCAGTGTTACAACACAAAAACACCAAATCAGACCAAAAACTTAGACGTCCGGAGAGGCCTTGAGGGAGTTACAATTTTCCGGATTGTTATTTTGAGATAATGAGTTAATTATCTTGTAATCTCCAGATAAGAAAGTTGTTATTTTGAGATAACAAGATAATTAATTTATTATCTCAAAATAATAATTTAGAAAATTACAGCAACAGCTCATGGCCTCTCCAGACTTCCGTAAAAACTCAACAGCGGTGCAGAATTGACCTGCCCAAGCTCCGCCCACAAATATGTGCTTTCATAGCAACCGTAACCAGAGCTGGTTTATGAGGAATCTGGCCACTTCCTATTTCCTCCGTTATATCAAAAACAGGACTGCAAAACAGCAGAGGGCACCAACGAGCGAGTCCTCAATGAATGGGGTGAATGGAGCTAAACGGCTAAAAATGAAGTTAAAATAGTTTCTAATCTCTCGCCCAGAACTTTCCTTTAATTTTAGACAGTAAAAGGATGTATTTCACTAAAAAAACAAAGAAAACTCACCTGTATGTTTCCTTTTTTTCTACAGCAAACGGGTTTTGGGCAGCAGGACGCTAACATTACTGTACTGAGTGCTGATTGGTTGGCGAGCGGAGCAGCTCATTGGCTGTTCGTGTTCACTGACATCATGAACGTACATGAGACGCCGTTTTAAACTCCTATAACTCGAGTTTAAAAGCTCTTAAAAATATATCAGCAGTGTTAAAATGTTTTATGCTGCTCTGTGTTCAGGAAATGATTGTATTCTTTTACATTAAAAATATTTAAGCATTTATAAACTATGATTTTGCTCAAAGGCTCCATCTTAACATATTCATTTTGGACTCGCTCAGGAGCGCCCTCTAGTGTTTGAGAAACCTGGAAGACATTACAGAGCGGTAATTCTCCTGCCTTAACTAAGAGGTCGAACAAACTGTACAGAAAGCTGGTAAAATGTCATTCAAGAAGCTCTGATGATCTCTGTGTACATAATATTGACTTTCCAGTGTAAAATACTTCGTTGTAGCCAATCAAAATAGCGATGAATTAGCCATCATGCTAACATTAGCTCGATTACAAGACAAATAGCAACTCTCTGATGAGAAAAGGAGAATTTCACTTGAGTGGTAAAGAATATGGGGAACATATATTTGCTGCTGGTTCTGTTTATCCTGTCTACCTGTTTAACCTGTGTACCTGGTCTTGTTCCAGGTGGTTGTTAGGAGCCCCATTTTCTCAGTAGACTTTAATCATTTTTTGAAGAGTTTTTTTCTGAAACTCCTGCTTTTCTCATTTATTTTCCTTTGACTTTCTTCTTCCTTCCCAAGTGGATTATCTTATATCTAATCTCAGAATTGTGTACAGTATGTCATGTGCTTATGTTACCAACCTCATAGCTACGAAAGAGCAGGTGTGTGGGCGGAGCCTGGACGGGACGATTACATCATACCATGTTTATTTCTGCTTTTATTTCTGCTTCTCTTTTTGAAAGTTGAAGGTTGTCAATGCTGGACTGTCAGATGCTGTTTATGTCTTTATTTGTACATATTAGTGTGTGTGTCGGTGTGTATGAGTGTGTGTAGCTCCAGTGTCATTTCTAGACGTCCACACAGAGTCCACACTATCTGTCCCTCTGAATACAATAAACTACACGAAGCTGTAAAAAAAGCACCTGTTTGAGTCGGTCTTATTTCTCTGACCCTCTGTCTGGGGGAATTTGGCTTTGTGTCTTGTATTTTGTCCATAGCAGGCGGCCAATTAAAAGACGGAAAGAGAAAATATCCGCAACGAAGATTTAATTATTGATCTTCCAGTGAGCTGCACTTTCTCACTGTGGTACATGATGCGTATGTGTACAGTGTGGTATATTAAACATGGGCTCTATTGCTCAGTGGTCAGTTCTACTAATAACAATTATAATAGCATTAATTCATGTAATCAATCAGCACCAGCCAACCTGAAGCCTGAATTTTATAAACACTGTACACTCAAAAAATTGATTTATGGCCATCATAAACATTATCCTGCCTTCCGCCCAATGACAGCTGGGATAGGCTCCAGCACCCCACCGCGACCCAGAAGGATAAGCGGTTTAGAAGATGTATGTATGTATGTATAAACATTAAGCAAATAATTTACATAAAACTTAAAAAACAAAAATATACTTTACTTATTTATATTCATTAGAAGCAGCCCAATTTGGATAATTCCCAAACTGATTTAACTGATTTGTATAAGACCTGTCAGATTTTTCCACTGAACGCATCATCAACCGGGAAATTGCTTCAGCTGGCATGGAGGACACGAAACGGCTCTATTTATTTTTTATTTATCTTCTACCATCCTTCGTTATTCAGTGCAACTGCAATGAAATAGTGGTAACACTATTCTATGAATGTCATGTTTGTAAGCATCTATAAACACATTTATAACATGTTATAATGCCTTCATACGGCATTATAAACATTTATAAAAATGAAATACACTTTATAGCCATGTTTATTATACATTATGAATTGTTAATATAATGCATTATAAGTAGTGTTGATAACAGGTTATACTGTCAGTGCCAAAGAAGTCAGTCCCAGCTTGGAGAGCGTAAAGTAAAGACAAATACCAAGCTAACGGTGGTGTACATTACCTTTCCCACACTGGGTAAAACACTGATGGCAGCTCTAGTTTAAACTCTGACATTTGAAGCCTGTAATGTGCTTTATTGTGAATGTTTTAGTGTTTCAGTAAATCCTTCAGTAAATACTTCAACTTGAAGCCTCACTCTGAACACTGGAGGAGGCTTTAGTACAGTACGCTTCACTTTACTTAGAGCGGACAAATACGACTTATGAGCTCTTATAATTTGTTACGATCAGTACTTATAATGTATTATGTTAACAATTCATAATGCATAATAAGCATGGCTATAACGTGTAATGCATTTTTATAAATATTTATAGCCATGTTTATAATGCCTTATGAATGCATTATAACATGTTATGAATGTGTCTATAGATGCTTACAAAGGTGACATTCATAGAAAGTGTTACCGAAATAGTGATGCACTTTAACTTAATTTGTGTTCATCCTTGCTAGGTCTGCTGTCATGGTAACGGGTACAAAACGTCGATTAAATAAACGATGGCAGTGATTTATTGTGAAGCAGGGTATAAAGACGTACTCCATTAATATTCAGATCAACAGTTCATGGTTTTGGTAACTGTAGGTGACCTCGACATGTTAGCATGGCATGAAGTGACTGATAGCATTAGCTGCTAACTTGCGTGATGGTCAGCATGAGAGCTGCACCTCAGCAGGAATGCTGTGCACATAAACATCTGCTTTAATTAGTAGTTCAGTTATGCGTGAATAGAAAGTCTAAACCAGGGAATTTGATCACAGATGAAATATATAAAGTTATGTTTATTTCTTTCACGTTAGACTTTAAAGTGTACAGTTGTACGTTGTAATGAGCCTCAAATGCTGTTTAATACAGTTTGGACTACAGTAAATGTCTGTGAATTTAACATGTATTGTCATTTAATACATTTCCACAGTCTGAGGAATTGTGCTCTGAATACAGAAGGTGCTATTAACTCTAGAAATACATAAACGTTATGTAAAAGAATTGCATAAATCCTACAAGCACTTCTAATTTAAACGTTATTTAATTCGTTCGGGTTTATTGAACATGATGGAAAAACAAATTATAATACCATTTTTCACATTGGATTTATGTGTTTAAATTGAATGCAAAATTGACATGTAATTAAAATACGATATAGTATATGATATACTGTTTATACTAAATGGTATATCATACAACAGGAGAAACCACAGCAACTCTATTATTATGTACCTCACTGCCATCTATCATATCTCAAAACTATCATAAAACAGTGTCTCAGTCATCAGGCAGTGAATTCATAACCATTTCATGTAGTAACTTTCTGTGAGGGAGCTTTTAGAGGTGGACGTCTGGTTCCTATCACCACCACTGTGAACAGTTCTGACTCGGTAAGTTTCTCTAGAACAGAGCGTTTCACACCAAACCACTCTGAACGACTCTGTTTACATTATAGGGTCCTTTTTGATTTCAGCTTGCCTTTAGTTGCTCCCCTAAACTTAAACTACTGAAGTCTGAGTGTAGGTGCACAGTTTTGCCTCTAGATGGAGTAACGTCAGTATTGAAGCAATGTGAGGACAGTGGCATCAGTAATTATTATTATTTTATTATTATTATTATTAGTAGTAGTAGTAGTAGTAGTATTAGTATTAATTACTATTCTAATGCTTTACAATGAAGTTAAAGACTGAAAAAGATCAAAATAAAAAGACATTTATATTTAAAGAACTTAGTACAGTAAAAATAACATATAAAAGTCACTTGACTACTCTGAAAAGCACTTATGTGCAACGTTAAAGGAATAGCTGGACCAAACATGCTAATGCGGCTAACAGTGAATGGAAGCTAGTAGCTGCCAGTGTTAGCATAATTCCTGTTGCATAATGCTCACTGGAGAATGTAAACACCGTTGTCAGATCACAGGAATTGAACTATTTAAGGAACAGTTTTGTGAACAGCACTCAGGATGCTTTGTTAGCACTGTTCACTGAGCTGTTCCTTTAAATGAATGTGGTTTATGATGCTTTTAAAAGAGTTAAGAGTCAGTTTTTATCAGTAATGAAAAACTGTCCCCTTCTGATTCAGAAGCAGCGGCTCAGTCTTCATGTTTGTGTCTGACAGCAAGCGGCTCTGCCTGAATCCTGATTTAGTCTAAAAGAACAAACTGCTGCCAAAATGTGTTTGTTTCCTGCACCTGGAGCACGTTACACCATCTGTCACACTTCCACTGCTTCTGTATTTAAAGCCATAGCTTGGCAAAAAAGCCCCACCATTTACCTCCAATGTAGCTGATCAGCCAATACATGTTTGGTGTCTGAAGTCTGCTTGTTAAGTTGGCTACACCAGGGGTCCCAAACATACGGCTCCAGCCACAGGCAGCTCTTTTACTGCCCTGTTGTGGCTCCACAGCAGAATCAGATCTGTAGGTAAAAATAAAATAATCCTCCTTTACAGTAAAATAAAGCTCTGCTGATCGTTCAACACAGTTTAACAATAAATGGTCTTAAACTCTGGAGTTAATGTAGAACTGCTAATTCACCCTTTAACCCTGAAGATCAGCGCAGACTGCTGGTCACCATAGCAACACAGATAATGGGGAAATTCACAGTGATCTGTGAATCTTTTGTCATCAGATCGAGCACATGTCTCTGTGCAGGGTAAGATTAACCTGGATTAATCACAGCCTGAGTATCTAAACCTGGACTAATCACAGCCTGAGTATCTAAACCTGGACTAATCACAGCCTG